CACTGTTAAACATACATAGGCCCCCACTCCCACTGTTAAACATACAAAGGCCCCCACTCCCACTGTTAAACATACATAGGCCCCCATTCCCACTGATAAACATACATAGGCCCCCACTCCCACTGATAAACATACATAGGCCCCCACTCCCACTGTTAAACATACATAGGCCTCCACTCTCACTTTTAAACATACATAGGCCCCACTCCCACTGTTAAACATACATAGGACCCCACTCCCACTGTTAAACATACATAGGACCCCACTCCCACTGTTAAACATACATAGGCCCCCACTCCCACTGTTACACAAACATAGGGCCCCACTCCCACTGTTAAACATACATTGGCCCCCACTCCTACTGTTACACATACATTGGCCCCCACTCCTACTGTTAAACATACATTGGCCCCCACTCCTACTGTTAAACATACATAGGCCCCCACTCCCACTGTTAAACATACATAGGCCCCCACTCCCACTGTTAAACATACATAGGCCCCCTCTCCCACTGTTAAACAAACATAGGCCCCCACTCCCACTGTTACACATACATTGGCCCCCACTCCTACTGTTAAACATACATAGGCCCCCACTCCCACTGTTAAACATACATAGGCCCCCACTCCCACTGTTAAACATACATAGGCCCCCTCTCCCACTGTTAAACAAACATAGGCCCCCACTCCCACTGTTACACATACATTGGCCCCCACTCCTACTGTTAAACATACATAGGCCCCCACTCCCACTGTGGAAATGGAGCTAAACGAAAAGTCTGACCAAAGACAGTTAAGTCACAGTGACCTACATTAATATATTAGTGAAGTTCATCTGATGGTGTATCAAGGTATCAATTTTGATGACTGTTGGGATTTAAATGTAAGAGTAATGAGCTCAACACGAACTCTAACTAAGATGTCACACACACAGGACTGACGGAACAAAAACTTGTAATATTCTAACACCCCCTCCATTATGTTTCAGGGACATAACACCAACAGTGGTAGTATAAAAAGGATGGTAACTATAACTGATGGTCTATAACACAACCTAAAGGCCCAGGAGGCCCTACACACTACATCTCAATACTTACGGGCATGGGCTAAACTAAGGCCCAACAGTATAAACTGCATACTTCATCTCAACACTTACGGGCATGGGTTAAACTAAGGGCCAACAGTATACACTACACACTACATCTCAACACTTACGGGCATGGTCTAAACTAAAGGCCAACACTATAAACTACACACTACATCTCAATCCTTACGGACATGGGCTAAGCTAAGGGCCAACAGTATACACTACACACTACATCTCAAGACTTACGGGCATGGGCTGAGCTAAGGACCAACAGTATAAACTACCCACTACATCTCAATACTTACGGGCATGGGCTAAGCAAAGGGCCAACAGTGTAAACTACACACTACATCTCAATACTTAAGGGCATGGGCTGAGCTAAGGGCCAACAGTATAAACTACACACTTCATCTCAACACTTACGGGCATGGGCTAAACTAAGGGCCAACAGTATAAACTGCACACTTCATCTCAACACTTACGGGCATGGGCTAAACTAAGGGCCAACAGTATAAACTACACATTACATCTCAATACTTAAGGGCATTGGCTAAGCTAAGGGCCAACAGTATAAACTACACACTATATCTCAATACTTACGGGCATGGGCCAAGCTAAGGGCCAACAGTATAAACTACACACTACATCTCAATACTTAAGGGCATGGGCTGAGCTAAGGGCCAACAGTATAAACTACACACTACATCTCAATACTTAAGGGCATGGGCTAAACTAAGGGCCAACAGTATAAACTACACACTACATCTCAATACTTACGGGCATGGGCTAAGCAAAGGGCCAACAGTATAAACTGCACACTTCATCTCAATACCAACGGGCATGGGCTAAGCTAAGGGCCAACAGTGTAAACTACACACTACATCTCAATACTTAAGGGCATGGGCTAAACTAAGGGCCAACAGTTTAAACTACACACTACATCTCAATACTTACGGGCATTGGCTAAGCTAAGGGCCAACAGTATAAACTACACACTACATCTCAATACTTACGGGCATGGGCTAAGCTAAGGGCCAACAGTATAAACTAAACACTACATCTTAATACTTACGGGCATGGGCTAAGCTAAGGGCCCAGAGTCGGAGGTAAGAGGCTGTGTGGGATATACAGCCCAGACAGTACTCAATGGTGTGTATTGACTGGTGAACAAACACTTCCTCAAAGTTGAATTCCTGTAAATAGAGCAGAAAAGGTAAGTAAGATTGAGTTCCTGTAACTAGAGCAGTAAAGGTAAGTAAGATTGTATCAATGGCGTCCTACGTACAACAAATACCATTATAGGAACATCTTATCAAAATAGATTTTACTTCATGTCCAGGTTTTTTTCATATAATTATGGGAACTAATATTTCTGTGTCAAAAAACCAGTCACCAATAATAAAAAGGAGAGTCAGACATTGCTATACTTTGATCTCCATTAAATTAGAATTTCTGGTGAATAAATACAAGAAAAATGACAGAGCATGCCATTCAGGTGAGAACACATTACACACAGCTAGTTATGCTAAATATATACAGAGAACAAGAGGACCATCAGCTGTAATGGTGTCCCTAGTGGACATAGGGCTAGGTTAATGTATACACATGTATATAGTACATGTAATGGTCACCCTAGTGGTAGGTTAATGTATACACATGTATATAGTACATGTAATGGTCACCCTAGTGGTAGGTTAATGTATACACATGTATATAGTACATGTAATGGTCACCCTAGTGGTAGGTTAATGTATACACATGTATATAGTACATGTAATGGTCACCCTAGTGGACATAGGGCTAGGTTAATGTATACAGATGTATATAGTACATGTAATGGTCACCCTAGTGGACATAGGGCTAGGTTAATGTATACAGATGTATATAGTACATGTAATGGTCACCCTAGTGGACATAGGGCTAGGTTAATGTATACACATGTATATAGTACATGTAATGGTCACCCTAGTGGACATAGGGCTAGGTTAATGTATACAGATGTATATAGTACATGTAATGGTCACCCTAGTGGACATAGGGCTAGGTTAATGTATACAGATGTATATAGTACATGTAATGGTCACCCTAGTGGACATAGGGCTAGGTTAATGTATACAGATGTATATAGTACATGTAATGGTCACCCTAGTGGACATAGGGCTAGGTTAATGTATACAGATGTATATAGTACATGTAATGGTCACCCTAGTGGACATAGGGCTAGGTTAATGTATACAGATGTATATAGTACATGTAATGGTCACCCTAGTGGACATAGGGCTAGGTTAATGTATACAGATGTATATAGTACATGTAATGGTCACCCTAGTGGACATAGGGCTAGGTTAATGTATACAGATGTATATAGTACATGTAATGGTCACCCTAGTGGACATAGGGCTAGGTTAATGTATACAGATGTATATAGTACATGTAATGGTCACCCTAGTGGACATAGGGCTAGGTTAATGTATACAGATGTATATAGTACATGTAATGGTCACCCTAGTGGACATAGGGCTAGGTTAATGTATACAGATGTATATAGTACATGTAATGGTCACCCTAGTGGACATAGGGCTAGGTTAATGTATACAGATGTATATAGTACATGTAATGGTCACCCTAGTGGACATAGGGCTAGGTTAATGTATACAGATGTATATAGTACATGTAATGGTCACCCTAGTGGACATAGGGCTAGGTTAATGTATACAGATGTATATAGTACATGTAATGGTCACCCTAGTGGACATAGGGCTAGGTTAATGTATACAGATGTATATAGTACATGTAATGGTCACCCTAGTGGACATAGGGCTAGGTTAATGTATACAGATGTATATAGTACATGTAATGGTCACCCTAGTGGACATAGGGCTAGGTTAATGTATACAGATGTATATAGTACATGTAATGGTCACCCTAGTGGACATAGGGCTAGGTTAATGTATACAGATGTATATAGTACATGTAATGGTCACCCTAGTGGACATAGGGCTAGGTTAATGTATACAGATGTATATAGTACATGTAATGGTCACCCTAGTGGACATAGGGCTAGGTTAATGTTTACAGATGTTTTTAGTACATGTAATGCAAATATAGTGACTGTTGATTCACCGACAAAAAGATGTTTGGGATTGAAGACATTTTTTAAAACAATTTTAGCCCTATTTCCCCCATTTAAACCTCATCCAAAGACAACATCTGGGCTTTAATTTTCCTATTATCAAACTGTCACACCATGATAATTAATTCAACCAGGTTTTTTTTTCTTTCTCAAAAACAAACAAAATTTTAGTGATATTTGGAAACTACAGTAACATTTACCCCCTACCCACAGGGGAATAGGTGACCTTGGGGTAATAAAATTTAGCCCCTACCCACAGGGGAAAAAGGGACCTTGGGGTAATAAAATTTAACCCCTACCCACAGGGGAAAAGGTGACCTTGGGGTAATAAAATTTAGCCCCTACCCACAGGGGAAAAGGTGACCTGGGGGTAATAAAATTTACCCCCTTCCCACAGGGGAAAAGGTGACCTGGGGGTAATAAAATTTACCCCCTACCCACAGGGGAATAGGTGACCTGGGGGTAATGAAATTTACCCCCTACCCACAGGGGAATAGGTGACCTGGGGGTAATGAAATTCAATCTTGATAAAGTACCTTGAAACTTATCCATCCATGAAGACTATTTGATTCTAGAATTTCTGAATATTGAGCCCTTTTTGCCCTGGGGCACAAACCGTATTATTCAAATTCTTGGTGTCGTCTTTTTTTATGGAAGCTTCATGCAAAAATTCATTGCAAATGATTCAGCGGGTCCAAAACCTGTATTATTGTTACAAATGCCTGATGGATGACAACAAACAAGAGCTGATCACAGTAGGTGACAGGAGGGTTTGAGTCAGGTTTGTTTTAGGTGACCTAACAAGGTACATCATCTTTTTGTTTGACTTGGAATTAAAGTCATTCAAAGTCTGAAGTTACTAATGGACGACAGTCTGGGGCAGCTCTATCACCAAACGTCGGACCAGTCGAACCATACATGTTTGCTTAAGAAATAGAGATGGACCTAGGGGTCTGGTCTATGATATATGTTCTTGTGTTTCGGTTAAGACATTCAATGCCTGGAAATGTTTTACAGGTATATGACAGGATAATATTGTGTTTGATAGCAGGCAAAGCAGATCAACATGGTATGTTAAACACAATTTAACTGACAGGCTTCATGAGTTTATAGACCAACGTATAAATGTCGACAACAATGAGGGATGACCATGCAAGCACTACGTCAGGGGAATCCTCACAAGAGTCTAGCTTCAGCATGCCTAGTTGATGTGACGTGAGTTCTCAGGTTGGTAAAGGATCTACAAAGGTGTTCTACATGTGTTGGGTAACAACGAAGCAAATCTGTTAATACTTACATTACCATGAAGCCAGTTAATTTTTGCAGATCTACATTTTCGTGATATTTACTCGAAATCAGGTCATCATTTACACCGATTTAAATTTCATAATTTGGAGATAAGAAAATATTTATTTTCATCCATATTGTCCCCAATGTCAACTTTCAAACATTATCCATGTATTCAGTTAAAAACGAGGACAAACAGTTCACCTATTAAACTATTCCCAGTTAAATTGTATAAATATACAATCTGTTTCAAACCATTATACACCGTACTTGCCAAATTACTGGGCTGTTTAGACATGCTTGCTGAGGCAATACTGTTATAGAGGTAATTGGTAGCCTGCGTTACTGTATATAATCTGGATATTTACACGTGTTATATCAGAACACTGATCAAATGGTTGCATTAGGTATATATACCCTGTGAATTACCCAAAATATCATCCTGGCAAAAATAACTGGCTATATGGTAGGTACTACAGGCATGTTCACAACATTAAATAGCAAGTTAAATATATTAAACGAAGAAATAAAATTAACAGCAAATTAAGACAGACACAGACATGCAAAACACAGGTAAAACAATATACCTTCCCACACCGGAACACCGTTTTTTAGGACCCCACAATTGTTTCTATACTAATGCTTACCATGCATCCCGCTTACATTTGGTTTATCATTTAATAAGACTGAACAAAATAATAGCCAACCAAATTTCACAAGTCTTGAATCATTTTTCCTTAATCAAAGAGTCATCATGTAAATATTTTAAGATGTTGAATATGTAATATATTTCTCCACATCAACCATAAACAAAAGGTTATAGTTCACTGAACTTATATTTTTTTGGCTATTTTATTGTGTTTTTTTGGTATTTTCCTCAGACAACTGCAGGAGTGTAAAACAATGATGTAAGACTTGTAATTATTGGTTGATGTAAGACTTGTATTTATTGGTCGATGGAAGACTTGTAATTATTGGTCGATGTAAGACTTTTAATTATTGGTTGATGTAAGACTTGTATTTATTGGTTGATGTAAGATTTGTAATTATTGGTTGATGTAAGACTTGTATTTATTGGTTGATGTAAGATTTGTAATTATTGGTTGATGTAAGACTTGTAATTATTGGTTGATGTAAGACTTGTATTTATTGGTTGATGTAAGATTTGTAATTATTGGTTGATGTAAGACTTGTATTTATTGGTTGATGTAAGACTTATTTATTGGTTGATGTAAGACTTGTAATTATTGGTCGATGTAAGACTTGTAATTATTGGTTGATGTAAGACTTGTAATTATTGGTTGAATATATTTCAGTCACAATCTACAAAATACTTAAAATAAATTCAATGGGGCAGACTGCATACTTGTTGGGAGATATTTTGAATTGGGATTTTTTTCTTCTTGACATGACTTGGCAAAAACAGTAGAGTTCCCCCCTCACCACGGTACACATACGGGTCACGTAACGTTCTAGTTTGGTTACACCGATATGATATCCTGTTTATTGAGGAAATGTTCATCTTGGGAGAGCAAATGTAAGAACTCGCACTTTCAAAAGAGGGTGCCCAGGTAGTAATTTGGTAGGTGAAAAAATTGTTACCAACAGAATATTTAGTGAATTAAAAGATTGCCAACACTTATCACCAAAGTTAAAGCTGCCCAGCTGGACACTGTCCATCTAAATTAAACCTATGTCCATACTGCTGTACAATGTACATTAAATTTAAATAAAGGGTTCTTGAGGTTTTCTGGGATGACACAGTGATTATAATAACATTAAGTAAGAATTTTGAGGATGGGTTGAAATAATGTAAATTTTACAGGTGAAGTCCAGGGTATTTCTAATTACTAAAAAATATTTATTTGTTGAGATGTAACTGAAACCAGGTGCCCAATGTTGACGGATGTGCTTTAAATAAATCGCAATTCAAAATCAAAATGGCCTCATATGCTAGAGCCCTTGACAACACAGCTACAACGTGAAGGATTTAAGTTTAGCAAGGCCACAGCATTCACCTCCTCAGAGTCTGTTAGTTCACCGGCCGCCATCGTCCCACCGTCACCATGATTGACCTCTTGAGCGTGATTCACAAGGTCACCGCTCTGAACGGACAATTGCTGATGTTTGAACTGCGAGTGGCGATGAAAGTAAAAAGATATGTTTGAATACAAATCTGAATTCTCTGTGAATGTATCATGTATGGAACCTGGTGCTGCGTCTCGCTGCCCTCTGGAACGCTGGTCTGCTGTAAGCACTATCACTAGAAGCACTCGTTAGTGTTAATGCTGTTTGTCAGTCTGTTGCCATGGAAACGATTCTTGGAAGGACTGGATTGGGTATGATTATTTTTCAATGAACATTATTTTTATCTTTTCTATGGAGAGAATTGCATGTTTAACACCTATTTGTTTTAGATACCATTTGTTTAGTTTTGAAAATATTTCGGACAGATTACCCTTACATCTTGAAAATATTTTAATCCAGCAAAAGACCTTTTCGAAGACATGCCATGGTTTTTCTTGCAGTCCCATTTATCTCGAAAATAAGTTTATTTCAATTAGGTCAACTAAGTTTTTGTAATATTTTAAACCAAGGAAATTAATTGATTGATTAGATAAGTATCTGATTTGATTGATTTTACAGGTAAAAGACCTGTTTCATCCAAAATGCAGGAAGACATAACATTTTATTTATCAAAACAAACAACTATAATTTATTTCTTAAAAAAAATATCAATCCTGACCTGCGACCTAAAATACACTGAAAATACTAATAGCATCACATGACCACTGGCCTAAAGATATGGCAAGAATCCTTAATTTAAGGCTTCTTGTATACGGTATTTTAAAATCTTACTTGACTTGAGTCGAGTTTGTTTTTATAACATTTGATAAATAGTATTATAACGAGGATGATTATCTGCTGAAGTTCCTGAAAATTTAAAACAAAGGATGAATAAGCCCACTATTAGGTACACCCTCACAGAGACCACCTGGTCCAGTCCTCGTTTCCATCACCACGGACATGCATGGAAAAACAAAATTTCAACCAATCGTGTATGAGTATGGTAGTCACCTCCTCGTCTTCCTCCATATGGGCCGTGTCTGGGTTTTCAGAGTGGTAGATCACCTCCTCTTCCTCCTCATCAGCGAGAGGAACGCTCTCATATTGTGACCTACCACACCTACTGGACTATACAACAACAACAAAAATATCAATCAGACATACACAAACAACACGTTAGAATTACTGAGTGGAATGACGTCTGCACACACCCAGAATTCTAACCAATGAATCTTCAGCCCATCTGGCCTCAAATGTTTAGTACATTTGACCGTCCATCTTTACATTTTTATTTTCACGCAGATACAACAAAACTTTTACCACAGGGATCAAGTCTGCGAATACAACAGTCACCAAATCAGGCGCTCCAAAATCGCATGATATGCTGTCTGTGTCTGAGGTAACGCATGTGATGCCTCATCTGTTTCCACAACATGTACACCAGTACACACATACACAGAACTTCACGCCATGCAACACATGTACTGAACAACACATTTGCTTGCAATCAAGCCGTCAAATCATATTAAACAAACAAGAGTCCCAATGGGCCTGTATTGCTCTCCTGTTCTTCATCAAACATCTGTGACTTTCAAAGTGGGTCAAGGTCAATTTTTAAATATTGTTATGCTACACATTATAAAAACTTGTTAGAAAACGATGTATTTTATTACTCAACACGTTACGAGTCCTTTTTTTACTCGGGTAATGAAGGCCTAGGTCTTTCATTCTAATTCTAACCGTCATAGCCCTTACACTGATAAGCTAAAGACTTAATGTTATTACTGAAGAACTCTTGTTAATTCAGAAGAAGTTGTTTAAAAATTTGTTTTAAATGTCAAAATTTGACCCCTGTTGGCCCTAAAAGTGGCTCAAAGTCACCGATTTGAAAACAAATGACAGCCTTCACTCCAGCATGCTTCAAGAAATATTTGACTCCGAGACTCTTGGTTATTTCAAAGAAATGGTTTAAATTTGTCCTTGGCCTGTTGGGTATTCAGAAGTCATTTAAAGATTTTAACCTGTTTGACAACATTGACCTTGAAAGTGGACCAAGGATGAAGGGCGATATGAAGAATCTACCATCTGATGATGGCTAAAAATTTGTAGCTTGCCGAATGCTGCACCATCACATAAGCTCACTTGGCCAAAGGGCCAAGTGAGCTAAAAGCAAATCCATTTATTTATATTATAACATACAATAAATATTAAACAGAGTATTGAATTACAAACAGACCAATGTATTCAAATTGTAAATAGGTACTGTAATTGAATGTCAACAGAGTATTGTATAGCATACAGTTGTCAACAGAGTATTGTATAGCATACAGTTGTCAACAGAGGATTGCATAACATACAGCTGTCAACAGAGTATTTAATAACATACAGTTGTCACCAGAGTATTGTATATCTTGATGTTGTCAACAGAGGATTGTATTACATACAGTTGTCATCAGAGTATTGTATATCATACAGTTGTCAACAAAGAATTAGGTAGCATACCGTTGTCAACAGAGTATTGTGTAGCATACAGTTGTCAACAGAGTATTGCATAACATACAGTTGTCAACAGAGTCTTGTGTAGCATACAGTTGTCAACAGAGTATTGTATTACATACAGTTGTCAACAGAGTATTGTATATCATGATGTTGTCAACAGAGTATTGTATAACATACATTTGTCAACAGAGTATTGTATAACATACAGTTGTCAACAGAGTATTGTATATCATACAGTTGTCAACAGGGTATTGTATAACATACAGTTGTCAACAGAGTATTGTATATCATGATGTTGTCAACAGAGTATTGTATAACATACATTTGTCAACAGAGTATTGTATATCATGATGTTGTCAACAGAGTATTGTATAACATACAGTTGTCAACAGAGTATTGTATAACATACAGTTGTCAACAGAGTATTGTATAACATACAGTTGTCAACAGAGTATTGTATAACATACAGTTGTCAACAGAGTATTGTATAACATACAGTTGTCAACAGAGTATTGTATAACATACAGTTGTCAACAGAGTATTGTATAACATACAGTTGTCAACAGAGTATTGTATAACATACAGTTGTCAACAGAGTATTGTATAACATACAGTTGTCAACAGAGTATTGTATAACATACAGTTGTCAACAGAGTATTGTATAACATACAGTTGTCAACAGAGTATTGTATAACATACAGTTGTCAACAGAGTATTGCATAACATACAGTTGTCAACAGAGTATTGTGTAGCATACAGTTGTCAACAGAGTATTGTATATCATACAGTTGTCAACAGAGTATTGTATAGCATACAGTTGTCAACAGAGTATTGTATAGCATACAATTGTCAACAGAGTATTGTATTACATACAGTTGTCAACAGAGTATTGTATATCATACAGTTGTCAACAGAGTATTGTATAGCATACAGTTGTCAACAGAGTATTGTATAACATACAGTTGTCAACAGAGTATTGTATAACATACAGTTGTCAACAGAGTATTGTATAACATACAGTTGTCAACAGAGTATTGTATAACATACAGTTGTCAACAGAATATTGTATTACATTCAGTTGTCAACAGGGTATTGCATTTTATAGCACTTTCATTTTGGGGAAAGAACATTTCAGATCTCTTCCATTAAGTGGAGTTTAAATTTCCCCATTAAGGCTTACTTCTTCTCTAACAGAAGGTAAAGGATTTGTGGATTTTAATTTGTACACAACTTTCCAGGACACGATTACGGTTTAAAAATAGAACCTGTAGAAAATGAAAGTGCTATACAGAACATTACTTTAGATCAATACCTTTATGTTTCAGTACAAGCCATACTAATTATAACCAACATGACCATCTGTCACCAGTGTACAGTAGGTCCCCAGCTGTATTACCTGTCCGTATCTGTGCCAGTGTCGCAGCAGGAAGGGCTTGGTGAACCACATCCACGGTACACAGGCCAGGGCCAGTAACACAAGGAAGATCTGCAGCCCTTTCTGTGGATACGATCATACAAATATGTATATGCAAATACCCTACATATCTACAAAATACCCTACATGTCTACATAATATACCCTACATATCTACATATATACCCTACATATCTACATATAAACCCTACATATCTACATACATACCCTACATACATACCCTACATATCTACATATAAACCCTACATATCTACATAATATACCCTACATATCTACATAATATACCCTACATATCAACATACATACCCTACATATCTACATACATACCCTACATATCTACATACATACCCTACATATCTACATATAAACCCTACATATCTACATACAAACCCTACATATCTACATATAAACACTACATATCTACATACATACCCTACATATAAACCCTACATATCTACATGCATACCCTACATATCTACATAATATACCCCACATATCTACATAATATACCCTACATATCTACATACATACCCTACATATCTACATAATATACCCTACATATCTACATACATACCCTACATATCTACATAATATACCCTACATATCTACATATATACCCTACATATCTACATAATATACCCTACATATCTACATATATATACCCTACCTTTCTACATATATACCCTACATATCTACATATATACCCTACATATATCTGCATATATACCCTACATATCTACATAATATCCCCTACATATCTACATAATATACCCTACATATCTATATATATACCCTACATATCTACATAATATACCCTACATATCTATATATATACCCTACATATCTTCATATATACCCTACATATCTACATATATACCCTACAAATCTACATATATACCCTACATATCTACAAATATCCCCTACATTCATCTACATAATATTCCCTACATATCTACATATATACCCTACAAATCTACATATATACCCTACATATCTACACATATACCCTACATATCTACATATATACCCTACATATCTACATAATATACCCTACATATCTACAAATATACCCTACATATATCTACATAATATACCCTACATATCTACATACATACCCTACATATCTCTACATATATACCCTACATATCTACATATATTCCCTACATATCTACATAATATACCCTACATATCTACATACATACCCTACATATCTACATATATACCCTACATATATCTACATATATACCCTACATATCTACATAATATACCCTACATATCTACAAATATACCCTACATATATCTACATAATATACCCTACATATCTACATACATACCCTACATATCTACATAATATACCCTACATATCTACATATATACCCTACATATCTATATAATATACCCTACATATCTACATATATATACCCTACCTTTCTACATATATACCCTACATATCTACATATATACCCTACATATCTACATATATACCCTACATATCTACATAATATACCCTACATATCTACATAAATACCCTACATATCTACATAATATACCCTACATATCTACATATATACCCTACATATCTATATAATATACCCTACATATCTACATATATATACCCTACCTTTCTACATATATACCCTACATATCTACATATATACCCTACATATCTACATATATACCCTACATATCTACATAATATACCCTACATATCTACATATATACCCTACATATCTATATAATAATCCCTACATAACTTAATAATATACCCCTCTTATCTACATAAAATTATATATCCTTAATATGAATTTTGCAATGTTTTACACTTTAAATGAACAAATATTTGCTGGCATCTCAACATTTCAGGATGATCTTTGTAGTTTAAACGAATTCAAGTATTTCTATAGTCTGAGTTCCTTCTTACTGTATGAAGCATAGTCCTCAAAGATGCCATTTTTTAACAATGTCAACAAATAATCGATTTTTTACTGCCAATTGAACTTGTAAAATCAATAACCTGCTGGCAAAAAATGTTGAGATGTAGTAACAGACAACGTACCTGACCAGAGTAGAAAGGACGAACACTAGGCTGAGCGGTGTCACTGTAGGCAAACAGGACCATGTTTATCAACCCTGAAAGTCAGGAATAAACAAGAAAACTCATACATCTTCATATTAGGTAGCTCAACTGAATATTTAAGCAATCATGGCAAATTGTTCTCATTGAAATTAATGAAAGTCCCCATATGGGGCTCCCCCTCTCAGATCTCATAGGGAATACCCTTCCTTTATATTACATCTGCTTCCCTGGTCACACGGATTCTCCATGGTAAATGCCCATAGGAGCCCCTTTTGTGTCCAGCCAAGATGTCATGACCCCGGGACTTAAACCTCAGGGGCAGAGCCAGATCCTGGTGCCAATCGTGGTAGCATGATTGTTTCCATATTTACAAGTCAAGTAGTTGTAAACAGGTGTTGACAGTTATTATATTATGACCCATGATCAAGTCCCCTAAAATCAGAAGTTACACAAAATACAAAAGTCCTATACTGTACATATAGCCATACCTATAAGTAGATTGGGGGCGTTGCCAGTGTCCTTGTATGTGAAGGTTGTCCACTTGACGAAGATCAAGATGATGAGGTAACCAAACATACAGAAGAGGAAGATCACCTGGGGTATAAACTCACAGTATATGTTGATAGCTTTGTTAAAATATCTGGAAACAAAGAATTGAAAAAGAAATGATTGACATACTACTAATTTTATATATGTAGAACACTTTTGATTCAAAATATCTTATTAACAGTATAGGTGTATGCTTGTTTGACACCATAGACAAAAGCTCGAATATTAAAGCCTGGTTAGCTCAAACTATTCTCTGTTTTCTTGGTCTGCACAAGTTGAAGTTAAATCCTAATGAGAATCACTGCCACACAGAAAACTGCTATACACAGGTTTCCTTACCTGTTATTGACAAGGCTGAGAGCAACTCCAAAAAACATCTGGGTTACTCCGAGGATCACCGACAACTTCATCTTAATTGAGTTGGTCACTGTAATCTTGTTCTTGGACATTGACCATACCTGTCAATCAATAATACAAAGATGGTTGGTCAACGTACAGTAATGTATAATCCCACGTGTATAAAACGTTTCCCCTCTGGAGATTTTCTCCTACGGGAGGAGGGGGGGGCTACTCAGGTTGAGAAGAATATCCTATAATCGTGAACCCTGTAGTTGTCAAAGTTATTTTCCTATTCAAACTTTCAGAAGTACTTCATATATAAGTAGTGATAGTCATTGAGAAGCCGACTAGTTTCTTTGTCTCCAGAAATGGAAGGACAAGTAGATTAGAACGTTAAACAAGATGATTATGGGACTTACCACTCACCTAAGTATAATTGTACCAGTCGATAAAGAGCAACTTATTATAACGTAAGTGTAACTCTCCATCCCAGTAAGTGTAGTGTAAACCTCCATCCCAGTAAGTGTAGTGTAAACCTCAATCCCAGTAAGTGTAGTGTAAACCTCCATCCCAGTAAGTATAGTGTAAACCTCCATCCCAGTAAGTGTAGTGTAAACCTCCATCCCAGTAAGTGCAGTGTAAACCTCCATCCCACTACCTACTGGTTAAATATCACCAACTTTAGGATTCCATCACTAGAGGTGGATTTTACCTTGTTTTCTCATGTGAATATGAATGAAACACCAAATTCATGTGTTGTAATAACTCCGATAGCCCTCCATCCTGACTAGTCATGGGCCAAATATCATTTTGAGACGTAAGCATATTAGACCCCTGTGACCTTGAATGAAGTTTAAGGTCATATGATCTAACACCTTCATAACTGTCCACCCCAGCCAGCTACAGACCAAACAGACTGGCATTAGTTGAGAAGTGGAAAACGTTGATTGTTAGTGAAAAATGACGATAACGGAAAAATAGGTCACTTGAGTCTTCTATGGGTTAACCTACCGGGTCGAGACCAAACGGATAAGGTCCAATGACATAGCTCGTCCTCACATCCAAAACAAGGTTCTCTGATCCATTCAATGTCTTCAATGTATATGTTCTGCAAAGGAAAGATACAAAAGTAAGCTTTGTGCTACCTCTGATGTACTGATAAGATGTTCTGTAATATAATTTACTCCAGAAAGCCTCTCGACGGCGTTTTTGCATAATTAACTCAGTTCTATAAATCAAGCATTATTGCATCATTATCATCAGTTAAATTTGTTCACCATACAGCATATGGCAAATACTACCACTAATATTTGTCTTCATCTTTTAGACCCGAGAAATTGTTACTACTTCAAACCAGACCTACGACATCCCTTAATGACTATGGTAAACCTCCAGTCAGTTCCAACGAAATGAAATAAATATTGTCAATCCTGTTCGAATTACACAAAATATAGCTGCTAAAATAACAAGTATTTCAAACAATCTGGCAGAGTTGACATTGGCAAAAATCACTATAGTCAAGTTGTTGATACAGGACAACGACGGCGTATTACAATACATTTGCAAATCTGGCCATGAATAATGGTACATATGTCTTTCTCATATTTACTTAATACATATTAATAATTGATTATTAAGTTCAATCTGCATGAATTCGCAAGGCCGAGACGTTCGAAGTATGTTCGAATATTGATGTATCAGAAGCGGAGGGCTGATTGAAACTGAATTTACGGATTAATAGTTTGACCGACCACCTGGTCAGATCCGTTTGTTTTGGTTTATATACAGGTAACATATCAATTAAGAAATAAATCAGGGATTGGCGGCATTCAAACCGTAAATTCTATATTTGGTGTTGGATAATAAGTTTACTCTATTGACTAGAGTTATGTTAGTTAAACATTTACTAAGATATATGTGTAACTGACTTACTGATTAGTTTGGGGATCTACTGGATACCAGGAGGAGCCGAATATGTTGACAGACTTGGAGTAGAAGTCATTGTAGAGGAGGCCGGTGTAGAGAGAGAACGCCCCCATCAACAGTATTACATACCTACCACTGAAGAATATCTCAAAGATCTGTCAACAAACAGCAATGTAATATAGCATGTATATCTCATAAATCTTAAACATACAGCTTTATAGCAATGTAACATAGCATGTAACGTACAGCTTTATAACAATGTAATATAGCATGTAACATACAGCTTTATAACAATGTAATATAGCATGTAACATACATCATTATAACAATGTAATATAGCATGTAACATACAGCTTTATAACAATGTAACATAGCATGTAACATACAGCTTTATAACAATGTAACATAGCATGTAACAAACAGCTTTATAACAATGTAACATAGCATGTAACATACAGCTTTATAACAATGTAACATAGCATGTAACATACAGCTTTATAACAATGTAACATAGCATGTAACATACATCATTATAACAATGTAATATAGCATGTAACATACATCATTATAACATATGTGTTTACCCATACACAGTAAAACCTCAATATAAAGCCCATAGTTTCATTTGCCACCTGGCTTACTGCCAACACATTTAAAGTCTCTTTTTCGTTATTTAACATTTCCTCTGTACATTTCCCTCAATTTATCACCAAAACCTTTAATAACCCCAAACCTTCTCTGGACGAATGGTGACAGTAGAGAGAGGTTTTACTGTATTCTATCAGAGATTATCTGAAAGATCTCTAACAACAGTATACAATATGCGATGATTAAATGAAAAGTTTCAAAAAAGAAAAACAAAGTGATGTTTCCAGAACTTCATAAGCCTTTTGATATTGATAAGGCTTGTGACTGAATTCTGCCCCTTTGCAACTCAGTAAGACTATACAGCTAGTAACTGTTGTAATTACTTTTTATTGTAAAATACAATTAGTCAAGATTGACTTCTACAGTATTAACAAAATGAATCTAGATTAACAACTTTTTGTACGATGAGATTAAACAGTACCTCGTTATCAATTTTCTTGGCCTGTATCTGCTTCTCCTTTAACACTAGGCCTAGTGCAAACAGGAACATGATGATACCGTGTCCCGTGTCACCAAACATGACAGCGAATAGAAACGGGAAGGAGATGATGGTATACAGGGCTGTAATGTAACACAAAGAATCTCTAAGTACATCAAAATCATAAAGAAATATCTCAAAACAAACATTAATAGCATCATCAAGTATGTTTTATACTCCCCTGTTTCCCTTCTCTTACATGTTTGAAGCATTGCCACACAGGAGGTTCGCTTTTGCTTCCTCACAAGTTAAATTCTGTGTTATTAAATAATGGGGCTAAAAACTGACAAACCTTTACAATAAAGCTTGCATACATTAAGGCTGATATTATAGAAAGTTAGAAACTATGAACACGATAAGCTAGCATCATTTTAGTATGTTTTACACCTTAATATGTTTACCAAGTAGATGTACAACCTCAACACAGTAGAACTTGACTTAAAGTTCAAAATAGGTTATCAAATTCTTTGTAACTGGCCACACCCTAGCCACATCTACCTGGATTGACCTCTTTATAACTGGCCACACCATAGCCACACCTACCTGGATTGACCTCTATATAACTGGCCACACCCTAGCCACACCTAACTGGATTGACCTCTTTATAACTGACCACTCCCTAGCCACACCTACCTGGATTGACCTCTTTATAACTGGCCACACCCTAGCCACACCTAACTGGATTGACCTCTTTATAACTGGCCACACCCTAGCCACA